GAATAAAAACAATAACCATCTCTGAAAATCAGTGGAAATATATTCTCCTCTCTGAAATCTTAAAATTTCACACATTCAGATAACTTAGAAAGTGCAGGGAGCAGAGGACTCCAGCTCCTGCTCTGAGTGCAGTGGGAGCCCCTGGAGGCTGAGAAGAGGCGTGAAGTGAGGGAGGCAGGAGCATTCGGGCTATGGTGTGGAGCAGAGACTTAGGGGCCCCAGTGGAATCGGGGCTCAGAGCGGGAAGCCCTGCGTTAATCAGTGTGAGATGCTGGAGGCGCGGACAGGCTGTCCAGGATGTGTGGGCAAGTGGAAGCTTGTGAGCCCATTGGACACGGAGCCCAGGACTCCCAGGTGGCCAGGGCCAAGGGACGGACACTTAGGGTTACAGTCTTTAGGGTGGTTTTCCATGTTGGAGTCAAAGGTGAAGAGACTCCCAAGCAGGCATTTCAGAGGAGGCTCTGGGGTCACCAGTGATGGTGGCTGTACCAGGAGCCACCCTGGGGGAGACAGAGGTCTCCATGTGGATTCTCCATCTTCCTCCAGGTCGTCATTTCTACCAGCTCCTTCTGGTGTCTCTCTGACGGCACAACAGCCCACAATGGTGAGGTCCCTGGCCTTCCATCTGCTCCACCTCCCTGCCTGCCTTGCCTTGGTCCAGCTGCTCACACCCTGCTCAGGTAGGGACCATGTGCATTTATGTACCTGGAGGAGTTACCTATATGCCCAGTCAGACCTTGGGCTCCTCCCACACCTGGGAGGCCCATCCACACTGTACACCTGTCAGCACTGAGTCCCTGTCCAGGTGTGTCTTACCTCATCCTCCCTACCTGGGACACCCCCTTACCATCTGGCCTCCAGCTCTCTCTGATGGGGCACCCCTTTCTGCTCACCCACTCAGTTTGCTGTGGTTGGACCCCCTGAGCCCAACCTGGCCATGGTGGGTGAAGTTGCTGAGCGGCCCTGTCACCTGTCCCCGAAGATAAGCACGGAGTCCATGGAGCTGATGTGGCTGCGATCCGGCCTCAGGCAGGTGGTTCATGCATATGCACACGGCAAGGAAGGCACAGAGAGAGCAGAGTATCGAGGGAGAACGTCGATTTTAAGAGAGGACATTGCTGAGGGGAAGGCCGTCCTGCGGATTCACAAGGTGAGAGTCTCTGACAGTGGAACCTACCAGTGTTATTTCCAAGATGCCGATTTCATTGCAAAAGCCCTGGTGGAGCTGAAGGTTGCAGGTGAGCCTGAGGCTGTTCTGAGCTCCTTCTTCTGTGGGGCCTGGGGACACAGGCTCCAAGCCCACCTCACAGACCTCTGCCTACACCCCAGCAGCTGCCTCCCTCCTCCACCTCTGCTTCTCTGGGCCCTTGACAGACTCAGGTTTTCCTGCAGGAAGGGCTCCTCCTGAACCAAGTGAAGACATCCCTCCTGCAGGCACCAGGGTCTCAGCAGGGATGTGGGGTCAGGGCAGGATGGCCGAGTAAACCTCCCCTCTAAAGGGCACACAGTTGAGTGGGTTCAGCTGTGTTCCAAGCCGTGGACCTGGGTCCCCCAGGTGCTCGCTGCTGTGGGTCCTGGAAGGCTGAGCTGCAGGGACATCACCTGTGCTGCCAGGTCTTCCAACCAAGGGCCCAGGATCACTCCTGCAGTAGAACAAGTTGAGTTTAGGACTAGTTGTCGTGAGGAGAACACATAGGTGTGTAAACATGGGGTGTCCCCATGAGGGGGTGTCAGGGAGACTTGGTGTAACTTTTGGGCTGATAGGGGACTACGGGAGGGTTTATGGAAGGAGGGCTTTGCTCTAAACCAGATGCTGTCAGGAGGATGTGGGGGTAACTGATCACTCACCCCTAGGACAGGGGATGATTGCTGGTTGCTGTGGTCTGGACACTGTTCATGTTTTACTCTATGTTCAGATCTGATAACTGAGTGGTCTTGTTTTGTCCTGACCCATCACAGGGACAAAGCATCCTTGTCTGATGCTGCTGTTGCATGACATTGTTCATGTCCAACCTCATTTCCCTTTCTCAGGGCACAGCCCTGCCTTGCACAGGAAGGAAGGAAGGTGGGTGTGAGAGGTCCTGGCTTTCTCCCTGCAGGGCCTCCTCAGCCACCTACAGTCCCTTCCTGAGACCACAGATCCTCTTAAGAAATCCCTCCCTACAGGACTGGGCTCTTGCAAGTCTTCAAAAGGCTTCCTCCCACCCCCAGACCCGATTGGGTTAAATGTTGAGGGACTGGTGGTAACTGCTCACTGCTCCTGGCCCTGGGTCAGCTCTTCCCCATGTAGTCTTTCCCCTTCCACAACCACAAAATAAAAATTCCCTGAGTCCAAAGACCTGAAAAAGAGGCTATAAACTCTAGATTAATGATATCAAGAGTTCATTACGGTGACTCTCATACCAGGAACAGTGTGGGTGGCAACAATAGAACATGCATATCCTCCTCACCACCTGGCAAAGCCTACAGCTCACACAGGACAGGCAGGATAGATAGGGGACTGGGGCATGACCCGCTCAGATAAGGGGAATGAGTTTCATGCCTGGGGCGAGTGAGGGCCAGTTCCAGGAACCAGCACTGGGCAGCGAGAGGGTCCAGGTGTCTCTGAGGGGATCCATGGGAAGCAGTCTCTGTTCTGGCTAAGATCCAGCTGGATCAAGCTCGAGGGTCCATGAGGGTAAGGCAGGTCACGTCATGGAACAGTCTCCTCTGCACAGCACATGTGGCAAACAGCTCCTAGTGAACCCTGCCTGCGTGATCGTGGAGTGAGCCCCTGTTCCTGATGGGACCCTCACCAACACAGAGGCCTCCTCATGATTCAGGCTCACTCTTCCTTCCCCAGCCCTGGGCTCTGATCTTCACATTGAAATGAAGGGCTATGAAGATGGAGGGATTCGTGTGGAGTGCACGTCTGCAGGCTGGTATCCACAGCCCCAGGTAGAGTGGAGAGGTGATTGGGGAGAGAGCTTGCCCACCATGGCAGCTCCTGGGTCTCAGATGGAGAGGGTCTGTTCGCAGCCACGTCATCTGTGATCCTGAAAGGCGGCTCTGGGAAGGGGGCCTCCTGTTTTGTCAGAAACCCCCTGCTCAGTCAGGAGAAGACGGCCAGGGTCTCCATTGCAGGTGAGTGCCCAGCCCCACACTGAGATCACCTGTGGCCACTGGGAGAAGGAGGCCTGAGTGTCTGCTGCTGACCTGGGTCTGTGCAGTGAGCATAAGGCTCAGAACAGGGACTTGGGTGCCCTTTGTCCTTGAAGCTGTTGATGTCACAGACATTTTCTGAGCATCCCTGCTGCCTCCACTTGGGACAGGCGATGGGGATGGGCAAATGGTAAATATCAGCAAACACATGACAAAGTGGGGAAAGTGTGTGCAGACATGTCCTGGAGAAAAGGCTGAGCTCCTCAAAACATGAAACAGCTCAGTACAGGAATGAATGGTTCCCAGAAGGAAATACCTCGGGGAAGGATGTCCAGTCTCACTGAGCAGGGAGACGTTCCCACCTGTGAGATTGGCAGCAGCAAACAAATGTAGTTGGTATCACTGATGGCAGGACTGTGGGGAGACAGACACTCTTAGACGTGTGTTGGTATAATTTGGTATATTTTTGTATAAATTGACACAGCTTATATTGGAGGAGAGTAGAACAATCTTAATCCAAACTAGTTATTTATTGACCCCAAATCCCAGTTCTTGAAATTTATCTGGCAGATCAGCTCAGGATTGTATGAAAGGTCTGATGGACAAAGATTTCTTTTATAAAAATATATATTTTTTGATTTCAGAGAGGAAGGGAGAGAAAGAGAAAAGCATCAATGATGTGAGGGAATCATGGGCTGCCACCTGCACACCCCACACTGGGGACCAAACCCACAACCCAGGCATGTGCCTTTGACTGGAATCAAACCTGGGACCCTTCAGTCCACAGGCCAATGCTCTATCCACTGAGCCAAACCAGCCAGGGCACAAAGTTATTTTTTGGAGCATCAGTTATAACAAAGAGTCAGAGACAGTTCAGATGCCACCCATGGGGGCTCCTGTCCAGGGGAGGCTGCCCTGTGGGAAGGAACACAGACGTGCTCTCTATGCTGAGAGGGAAAGGTCCCCAGGACCCATGATGCACTGAGAAATGAGCTGGGGAACAGCTTGTGTAGATGCTGCCTGTGGTGTAAGTGAGAAAAAGAGGAAGATGTTTATGCTTTATACATATATGAGGTTCCAATCCAGGCATCATTATTATTTCAATGTAATGCAATTTTTTTCTTTATTGTGTAAAGTATTACAGATGTCTCCTTTTTCCCCAATTGACCCCCACCCCCAGCCATTCCCACCCTGGCAAGCCCCCACCGCCCCAGTGTCTGTGTCCAGTGGTTATGCTGATATGCAGGCATACAAGTCCTTTGGTTGCTCTCAAACCCCCCACCTCC